TTAATGGTTACATCGTTTGCCAGATTCTGCAGCTACTTTCTTACCCCAACTCTCAGTTTATATTATTTCCTCTTTGTTTTACGTTATACTTACAATACAAAATATTATCAATGTTAAATTAATTGCACCCTCATAAATGCCTCTAATTAAAAATAATATTAATAATTTGACGAATTTGACACAAGACACTTGCAAAATTATAAATAAGAAATTATAAAATTAAAAACAAAATACAGGAATATATAATATTACATATTCAATCATTCAATTAATATAACGAGAGTTGATTGTAATAGACTTGTGTTTGTATGATATTATGATTCTTGTTATCTTCCTTTTGTTTCTTTCACTCAATTCTTGTTTCGGCTTTTGGGAGAAAAACTAATTTCTTCTAATTTTCTGTTTTCTTGAGCTGTATTTCTGTTTTCTATGTTATAAACGATATATATATTCGTTAAAACAAAAAACTTTTTATAATAACTTTAAGTGCATTTCGAGTAATTATCTATTATTCTATGATACAAATTCTGGGTTAGATTTTAATGAAGACGTTAAATGAGAGTTAGAGTATGCAGTAGAGTAAGAGTATGAGCGAGTGATTGAGAGAGAGAGAGAGAGAGAGAGAGAGAGAGAGATTCTATGATACAAATTCTGGGTTAGATTTTAATGAAGACGTTAAATGAGAGTTAGAGTATGCAGTAGAGTAAGAGTATGAGCGAGTGAGTGATTGAGAGAGAGAGAGAGAGAGAGAGAGAGAGAGAGAATGTTTAACATTGAATAATGAGATTAAATTATGGAATTCATTATAATGTTTGACACATTGATTGAAGAGTTGGGTCATGACTTCTATGACTTTACAACTATTAATTCAATTATAAACACATTTTACACTAAAATGTTTGCAAAAAATGAATAAGGCAATTTTGAGTGAATATATTCTCTTTAAATACTGTATGAAATATAGGCAAAAAGAATTAAAAACTTATTTAATAAATTTTCGGAATCTAATTATAATCAGAGATTTGATGAATACGGTATCATTTCTGTAAAGATATACATAATAGTAATAATAGTAATTACAAATTTAATCAAATTTTAATAATACATAAAAAAGACAAAGTAATTAAAATTACAATAATTTCATTAAAATACAATATATATTTCGTAAAAATATTTTCCATTTTAAATTCAGATTAATGATAGATAAGTAAAGTGTGTATTAAACGACAGACAATTAAAATCAATGTTATAATGTGTCTAAACGGTAGTTGATATTCCCTTATATAATTTTCTTTTGATCAAAATTAAGTCTTTTAATGAATTTTAGGTCTTTTGAAAGGGAACCGTTTATACAGACATTTTCATCGAAATCTTAGGGTAAGGCTTATAATCAATGAGATCGAAGTCATCGCTTGTGAAGTGATCGATGTCCTGGACTTTGCGTTTGATAACCAACTTTGGGAACGGACGGGGAGTTCGGCTCAACTGAATGGTTGTCCATAAATTGATGCGAAAGGGGAGGAGAGAGAGAGAGAGAGAGAAAACAATTAAGTTTGACATTAAATCCCAAAACAATAGATAATAAGAAAACAATAAAATACTTGTTCTTTGAGTGGTTCCAAATGGTCGGTATAAATGTGAGCGTCACCGATGGTATGGATAAAATCACCGCATTTTAGACCAGTTATGTGGGCCATCATATGAGTCAATAGGGAATAGCTGGCGATATTGAACGGTACTCCCAGTCCCTGAAGTGACACAAAATAATTGACACAAATATATCACAAAACGCTATAACAATAAGACCACTAGTTTTTAAAGACATAGAAATCACAT